TGAAAGAGAGAGGGAGAAAGAGAGAGAGAGAGAGAAGAGAGAGAGTTGGTTATTGGGGCAGGGTGGGGGGAGCTGGAGCAGGGATGAATTGGAAGAGGATGAAGTCTGAGTTGTGTGGACACTTTTGGTAAGGAAAATGATCAGTACTGGATACTGGGTGGGAGAGAGAGGAAAGAAACATGGTGTCCAAGCTGTACTCTTGGTGTCTAGGTGCATGGAGGCACTCTCTCAGAGATGAGATGCAGGAAGAGAAGACGGTCTGGAGAGTCAATCTCATGACTGACACCCACCATGTATCTCTAGGACCATCTGTTTCTAGATACTCAGTTTCCTGATGGGAGGTAGCTCCTGGCTGCTGGTGGGAGGTGTTCCTGGGGCTTTGCATATGTTACAGTGTTGCCCTCCTTTCTGCCCTCGGCCTGCAGGAGGCCCAGTGAATATATTGCCACCATCTTGGAGCTCAGTGCCCTTGTAGAGAAAAGAAGCCAGCGTATCTTCCAGCACATGGACTTTCTGTATTACCTCACCCAAGATGGGCAGCGCTTCCGCAGGGCCTGCCGCCTAGTGCATGACTTCACAGACGCTGTCATCCAGGAGCGGCGCCGCACCCTCCCCACTCAGGGTATTGATGATTTCCTCAAGGACAAAGCCAAGTCCAAGACTCTGGATTTCATTGATGTGCTTCTGCTGAGCAAGGTGGGTTTCTCTATGATCTTATTTTAAGTTAGAGAATAGAGCTTGATGTCAAATGTCAGGTGAAATAAATTGGTCTTGATCCCAAGGGAGCCATGGAAGATGCTTGAGAAGTGGAAGGTCACAGACAGGTTTTAGAGATGATTTTATTGCATGCAGCTCATGGGGCACTGCTAATTTTGAAACTGTGAAGAGCCTGAGGTTTTATTTAACTTACAAGTTATTGTGTTAGTCTTTCACATTTTTATGTATATCTATATGTTTATGTCTATGTCTATATCTATGATGACAGATGCACCAAACCCCTGGATCATAGCAGCCCATTAGCTATTTACAGCAATAACATCAGGCAGAGTAGGATTGTAGTTCTGGTTCCCCATTCCTAGGGCAACACAATGTTTTTTACCTGTAAATGCACAAGAATTTGCACCATAGGAGAGGAGCCCCCACATGATGAGTCTTATATCTCATATAGGACTGGTAGCTCATATGTTCCTTCTTTCTTACAGGGTGAAAGTTGAGAGAGAGAGAGAGAGAGAGAGAGAGAGACAGAGAGAGACAGAGAGAGACAGACAGAGAGAGAGAGAGAGAGAATACTTTTTTCTGGAGTATAAACTACTCCTCTCCTGTGAGATGGCAATTTCTATAGTTTTATAACCCAAATATCTTCTGGAAAGATACGAGTCTCTGAGTTTACCACTCTAGAATGTCAGCAAATATTTTTGGAGCAATACATAATTTCTAACCTCCAAGGCAAATTGCCATTCAAATATCCTGTACCCCAGGTTGCCAGTATCTTTTTCTCTGAAAGTCTGTATTATGCAGAAAAAGAAAACATTCGAGGGCCATTGATTCCTGCCACCAGGGTCCAAAGAGGAGGCAAAGGAGCTGGGGGAAGCCTTTGGAGTTGGGGCTCTGGTGACGGTGAACAAGAGAGATCTAGATGTGCAGAGTGGATTTGAGTTTCTGGAAGAAGATCAGAGCTTCAGAGATTATCTCAGGTTAGACTTTGAAGTCTCAGAGATAGTATAATTTGTGTGTGTGTGTGTGTGTGTGTGTATGTGTGTATCTTGCTTTCTCTTCAGGATGAAGATGGAAAGGCGTTGTCAGATGAGGATATAAGAGCAGAGGCTGACACCTTCATGTTTGCAGGTGAGGGTCCCAGTGTGGCACTACAGTGGGGACAGAGGTCCCTCCATCTCAGGATCCGGGTGGGTGGACCCTGGATCACTCCATTCTGCCCATCTTCCCCCTCCCTCCATCCTCCTGAGGGCCTCAATGTCTGGGCGCTGTCCACCCTCTGGTGCTGAAGCCAAGCTTACCTGGCTGTCCTCAGGCCATGACACCACCGCCAGTGGTCTCTCCTGGGTCCTGTACAACCTTGCGAGGCACCCAGAATACCAGGAGCGCTGCCGACAGGAGGTGCAAGAGCTTCTGAAGGATCGCGATCCTAAAGAGATTGAATGGTGAGTGCAGGTTCTTGTGGACTGTTCCTGAGCCCATCATTTGTTCTGCTCCCCAAGTGAGGAGGGGTGGAGGAGTTGTTTTGTTGATTCTTCCACTACTGCGTAGTGGGTATAAAAGCAGAGGACCACAGGCAGGGCTTGATACCCAGCCTGGCTGTCAGGGGAAAGGTTGGAGGCCTGTAGGACCGAAAGACCCGGGCTGCTGAGAGAATTGGTGACAGTATGTGAGGACAGATAATGCCACTTTGCACATGTTCAGCAAATGAACTTCCCCTCCACTCTCTTTCTTTTCTCCCAGAAATATCATTTTTTTCGAACATCCTCACTTCTTGAATGTTTGCTCAGGTGGCGAGGGGGAAGTTGTTTTTGTCAATTCTTCCATTATTGCTTAGTAGTACTAGGAGTAGAGCCCAGAGGCAGAACTTGGTATCTAGCCTGGCTAGCAGAGGATGATTTTCAGGCTTTTGGTACACAGAGTCCTAGTCTGCTGAGAGAACTAGTGTCAATATATGAAGGCAGATGATGACACTTAGACACGTTCAATCAATGAATTTTACCTTCACTTCTTTCTTGTTTTCTCTGAATTAGCATTTTTTTGAACATCTTTACTTCCTGAAAGTTTGCTGTTTTGTTCACTAATTCCTACCCTCCAGTCCAGTCCAGGGAGTTGTAAGGAAGACCTGGGGGTAAAAGTCATATATCTTTGTCTAGAACACCTGCATCATTCATCCATTCACTCTTCATTCAGCAAACTCTTCCATACACGTTTCCAATGCCAGTTCTGTTCCCAGCACCTTTCTGTGCTCTGGAGACATGGAAAGAACCCTGCCTATGGATGTGTCTTCCAGGTACTCCCAGCCTAGTGGGAACAGTCCCAGTGCAAGATATTCCCAGTCCACATGGGGAAGGATAGAGTTGAGAGCAAGAGAAGCATGGCTGGGAGTATAGAAAGTGTTTCAAGCCAGATGTGTTGGCTGTCGCTCATGATACCAAGTACCAAGGAGGCTAAAGTGGGAGAATCACTTGAGGTCAAGTTTAAGATCAACCTGGACAATACAGAAAGAACCCATTTCTAAAAAAGTAGAAAACCAAAATAATAAAGTGCAACTGAAACCCTGAATGATGATCAGTAGATGTTTGGATGATGTAGTACTCTAGGTGAAAAAGACAACCTGGCCAAAAATGCAGAAAGAGGGAGTGGGAGAGAGGGAGAAGAGGGAAAGAGAGGTTTGTGCACTGGAGCAAAGAGATGATCATAAAGGGAGCAAGAAGTAAGAGGGAAGGAAAGTGAGGGAGAGTAAGATAAAGAGAGGAGGGAAGAGAGAAGAAGACACAGAGAGAATGAGAGAGGGAGGAACTGAATTGTGATGAGATAGTAACCATGGCAGTGAAAGCAGAGTCCGGGTATGGAAGGCATGGGAAAATGGTAATAGCTTCCGTTTTAACCCAAAGGCAATGGGGAGCTGTAACAAGTGGTTCAGCAGGGGAGTGACAGGTCATATCTGGGAACCAGAAAAATCTTTTCAGGGCTACTGTGGATAGAGGAGCAGTTGCAGAATGAAGTCTCAGTGAAGACATTCTGGGACCTGAGCCAGGCCAGAGGCTGGGGATGGAGAGGAGGCTATGGATTGGACAGGTGTTTTGGAGGCAGTGTCCTCCCGTCCAAGCCTTTGCTCAGCACAGCAGTCTTAAAAGGTGGCAAAACTTTTTGTGCTTTTAAAAACCAAAATACCAAGAAATATTGTGCACTTTGTAAAAAAAAAAGTGCTCAAAAATTTATAAAAATGAGCTTCCTTCTTAAGTCTCACTCTAGCAGTTTCTACCGTCAATGGTTTTGTGTGTGTCCCTTCAGAAAATGGCTATCCTGATGCCCACATTACATGAACACACACTCTTTGTATACAAATAAGAGCGTATAAAATAGACATAGTATTTTTTCCCAAGATGGTGGATTGGAGGCAATGTCAGTGTGCCTCTCCCATGTGGAAGGACAGATTAGCGTGTAGAGATTCACACTGTGAACTTTCTTTTCCCAAGAAACAACACGGGAACTTAACAGGAAAACCAAAAGTATCCACAGGTCTTTCAATAGAAGCTGAAGGCTCCATCCTACTCTGTAAGACAGGTGAAGACCTGTAAATCCACAGAGGGTGAGAGCGGGATAGACTGCCTCGAGGATACACATCTTCACTGAGGAATCTGAAATTCCAGACCACAGGGGAAGGCCTTAACTCTACCCAGGGCTTGAACTGATTTAAGGAGTGGTGAGAAATATAAAAGTAGAAGCAGCAGTAGGAAGTGCCTTTCAGGCACTCCCAATCTCCAGCATGGACTGAGGGAAGCCATTCCTTATTGTATGTCACAGGGGGCTTGGGGAATTCCGACAACTAGCTCAGGCAGGGGTCACAGGTTGAACGAAATGACCAGCTGAATTTCTTGATAAAACCTTGAGTGGGAATGAACTCCCTTGAACAGAACCTGGAAGGCAAGCAGGAAGTGTGCTGTAGACAGGAGTTCAGGAGCTAGGTGCCTGGCCTTGGACAGGGACAAAAAAGGGTGTGGCCTGAAAGCATTGCTATTTCTGTGGAAAAAGCTTATGGCCTGGGGCAAATCTTAGTTCTGTTCACAGACTACCTGGATCTAAATCCAGTGCTATGAGTGGAACACTGCAGGTGTGAGACCCACCTTGTGCCAACTGCATGGGAGCTGGATGAGGGCTACTGCCACCTGCTACTCTCCACTCCTTTGGCAAACTCCTCTGTGAGGCAGGGGCAGTTATACTCACCTCTGGAACACTACCCCAGTGACCTGAGAACAAGAACGGCCTTCTGACTCCCACAGGGCAAAACAAACAAACAAAAAAACAGTTGCAAAAAAAACAAAAAACAAAAAACAAAAAACTTAGGGATATACTTAACCAAGGAGGTTAAAGCTCTCTACAAGGAGAACTACAAAGCAGTGCTGGACAAAACCATAGATGACACAAACCAGTGAAAACACATCCCATGTTCATGGATTGGAAGAATCAATATTGTGAAAATGATCATACTGTGCAAAGCAATCTACAGATTTAATGCAATGCCTATTAAAATAGCTTCATCATTTTTCACACAACTGGGAAAGGCAATTCTAAAATTCATATGGAACCAAAAAAGAGCCCGTGTAGTCAAAGCAATACCAGGCAAAAAGAAAAAATTTGAAGGCATCACATTACTGGACTTCAAATTACATTACAAGGCTACAGTTACCAAAACAGCATGGTACTGGTATAAAAGTAGGCGTTTAGACCAATGGAACAGAAAGGAGGACCCAGAAATAAAGCCAAATACTTACAGCCAACTGATCTTTGACAAAGCACACAAAAACATAAATAGGGGAAAGGACACCCTATTCCATAAATGGTGCTGGGAAAGCTGGATAGCCATACGTAGAAAAATGAAACTGGATCCTCATCTCTCACCTTCTACAAAAATCAAAGGCTTAAATCTAAGACCTGAAAGCATAACAATTCTATAAGATAACCTTGGAAAAACTCTTCTGGACATTGGCCTAGGCAAAGAATTCATGATCAAGACTACAAAAGCAAATACAACAAAACCAAAAATAAATCAGTGAAAGTTAATTAAACTAAAAAGCTTCTGTACAACAAAATAATAATAATAATAATAATAATAGCAGAGTTAACAGACAACCTATAAAGTAGGGGAAAATATTTGCAAACTATCCATCTGACAAGAGGCTAGTATCCAGAATTTCAAGGAACTCAAACAAATCAGCAAGAAAAAGATACAATTCCATCAAAAAGTGGACAAAGGACACCAATAGATAATTCTCCAAAGAAGATACACAAACAGCCAAGAAACATATGAAAAAATGCACAACATCGCTAATCATCAGGGATATGCAAATTAAAACCATAATGAGATGCTACCTTATTTCTACAAGAATGGCCATAATTAAAAAGTTCAAAAACAATAGATGCATGTTGCGGATGTAGTGAAAAGTGAAATGTAGTGAAATGCTCATACACTGCTATGAAATTAACACAACCTCTGTGGAAAACAGTTACGATATTCTTCAGGGAACTGAAAGTAAAGCTACCATTCCATCCAGCAATCTCATTACTAGGTATCCACCCAAAGGAAAAGTCATTACATGAAAAAGACAAAAGCACACACATGCTTACAGTAGCACAATTCACAACTGTAAAGATACGGAACCAACCTAAGTGCCCATTGACCAATCAATGGATAAAGAAAATGTGGCATATATACACCATGGAATACTACTCAGCTATAAAAAGGAAT